AGTTTTGGTTGTGAGGGGTCCAGTTCCTTGGGCATCTCATTCACCAAGAGAGGATTTTGGTCGATCCGGACAAAAGTGAGGTGGTTATGCAGTGGGAGTTTCCGAAATCTCCCTCAAATATCAGGAGTTTGTTGGGATTAGCAGGGTACTATCGGAGATTCATTCAAGATTTCTCCAAGCTTGCAGTACCCCTCACTCATCTAATGAGGAAGGGATGGACTTCCGGTGGGGCCTTAAGCAGCAGAGGGCGTTTGAGACCCTCCAACAGTGTTTATGTGATGCGCCAGTGTTGACACTCCGTGAGGGAGTTTTGGATTTTGTAGTATTCTGTGATGCATCCATCACAGGTTTGGGGGTAGTCCTTATGCAGAGGACGAGTGATAGCCTATGCATCGTGACAGCTGAAGCCGCATGAGACGAGATACGCTACACACGATCTGGAGTTGGGAGCGGTGGTATTCGCTCTCAATATTTGCAGGCATTACCTATATGGTCTGCGTTGTACCATATACACGGATCACAAGATTTTGAGGCACATCCTGGATCAGCTGAACCTGAAAATGAGGCAGCGCAGGTGGCTGGATGTAGTCAAGGACTACGAATGCGAGATCCTTTACCACCCTGGTAAAGAGAATGTGGATTCAGACGCTTTAAGCTGCAAGTCAACTGCATCTTCTACCCCAACAATGTGCATGAGGATAATGGTGAATTCCCCGCTTGTGAGCTTGATTAGAGATGCCCAGGTTGAAGCATGCGGCCAGAGAACTGGAAGTTGGAAAGGGTCAAGGGCGAGAGCGCCCAGTTTGTTCATGATAGCCGTGGATTATTGACCCAATACAGTCGGGTTTGGGTTCCGATGTCTGGTGGGGTCAGGCAGATAGTGATGGAGAAGCCTCATAAGTCTAATTTTTCTATACACCTGAGGGCCACCATGATGTACCGTAATCTGAGTTTAAGTTATCGGTGGTCATGTATGAAGTGAGAAATCGCTTGGTATGTCGAGAGGTGCTTGACTTGTAGGATGGTCAAGGCCGAGCGTCAGAGGCCGCATAGTAAGCTGCAGCGTATAGAAATTCCCATGTGGAAATGGGAGCAGATCACGATGGACTTCATTAAGAAACTACCAAGGACGACGAAGGGGTTCGATTCTATATGGGTCATCGTGGATCGATTGACCAAGAGTGCCCATTTCTTTGTTATTCGGGAGAGTTCATTGTCCGAGAAATTGGCCGACGTTTACGTCCGCGAGATTATCTCTTGCCATGGGGTTTCGGTCTCCATCGTGTCCGATCGAGATGTCAGGTTTACCTCTCGTTTTTGGCAGAAGTTCAATGATGAACTGGGTACGCAGATGCACTTTAGTACATCGTTTCATCCTTAGACCGACAGGCAGAGTGAGCGGACCATTCAGACCCTCGAGGATATGTTGAGGGCGTGTGCTATTGACTTCGAAGGGAGTTAGGATTGCCATTTACCTCTTTCAGAGTTTGTTTACAACAACAACTATCATTCCAGTATTGACGCCCTTCCTTTTGAACTATTGTATGGTCAAAAATGTAGAACCCAGATCTGTTGGGGTGAGGTTGGACACAAAGTGATGGGTCGGACTGAGGTAGTTTTGCAGACTTTCGAAAAGATCCAGCAGATTAGATAGCGACTACAGACAGCCCAGAGTCGACAAGAGAGTTACGCTGATAAACGCCGATCGGATTTGAAGTTTTAGGTTGATAACATGGTACTCTTGAAGGTCTCACCCTGGAAGGGCGTGATTCACTTCAGAAAAAGGGGAAAGTCGAGTCTCCGCTAAATTGGGTTGTTCAGGGTCATCACCAGGATTCGTAAAGTGGAGTACAGGCTGGAATTACCGGATGAACTTAGCCAAATTGACAACACCTTTTATGTTTCACAATTCCGAAAGTGTATTATGGACCCGGAGGCAGTGGTGCCACTGGATGACATTCATGTTGATGAGCATCTGAATCATAATGAGATGCCGGTTTCCGTTTAGGAAAGGAAAGTGAAAGTCCTGCACAACAAGGAGGTTCCGTTGGTGAAGATACAATGGGAGCATCGTAGGGGATTCGAGTAGACATGTGAGTCGGAGGCTGAGATGCAGGAGCATTATCCAGAGTTATTCACTATAACAGACTTCGAGGACGAAGTCTAAGTTAAGTGGGGGAGAATTGTGACATCCCAACTGTCACGTATCATTATTATTCCATTTAGATTTCATGTTTTAAGGTCTACTCGACGAGTTGACACTGTGACTCATCGAGTAGCAGCGGGTTAGGACACGTCATTTTATGAGTGACTCGGCGAGTCGGCATGGGGGACTCGATGAGTAGGAGCTGGCAGAGGAAACCCTAAATTTCAGGGTTTTTGCACCATATTAATTGGACCATTAGCGCCTCCCACTGTCCTCTATCACCCCTTGAGAGCCAAAAACCCTAATTTCCATGAGTGTGAGCTTAGAGAGTGTTTTGGAGCTTTGGGAAGTGATTTTTGTGAAGGAAACTTGTAGATAAAGAGGCCAGCATCAAGGATTTCGTGTGGATCCAGAGTCTACTTCAGCTTGGGCACGTTTTGGAGGTAACAAGCTGTTATCTTGACCTATTTTCTTCTAGAATCTTTTATATGTGAAGGTTAGGACTTTCTTTAACTATTCATGAAGGAATTATGGTATAGGAGCTAGATCTGAAGTTGAAACTTCAGATTTGAACCTCATTTGAGACGTAAGTTCATAAAGTTCTTAATAGGGTCATGAAGGAACCCTTGTTTATGAGTAAAGTCCCATTTCAAGCTTAGATGTGGAATTTGAGTCATGCAAATACATAAAGGTAGCAACTTTACGTTGCTAATGCACTCTAGAGACCTAGATCTATTGATTAGAACAAAGGGGTAGTTCAGAATCGCTTGATCATGAGAGTATTCGTATGGACTTGGTGAGTCTGGGAGATGACTCGGCGAGTCAGGTAGGGTTTTGTCCAAATTGGTACCACATGGACTCGGCGAGGTCTGGGAGATAACCCGACGAGTTAGTTTGGACTTCCAAGCACTGGGTCACGTATCGTCTCAACGAGTCTGCCAGAGACTCTGCGAGTCGAGTTGAGAAATTCCGGAATCAGGAGGGACTCGAGGTAGAGAAAGTTATATTCAACAAATAGGTCAACATGGACTGTTGACCATTGACCAGTAACTTGACTTGACTGTGGGATGTCTTGAACATCCCAAGGGCATTTTGGTAATTTGAGTGATTATTGAGTTGACCACTTATGGGTACATGCGAGGTGGTTGGATCAATATCTGGAGGTATGGACAGTATCATTTCGAGCTACTAGCAAGGTGAGTTATCCTCACTATATCAATAGGGTCTAAGGCACCAAGGCCGACCCTTTTAGTTGTTATCTTGGTTATAGTATACTACATGTGATTATGATCTGTTAGATCGGTATCAAGATAGACGATATGTTGTTATGCTCTTATGATCCATTAAGATTGGTATGTTAGTGATCTGGTTAGGTCGGTGCTCTGGTTATGAGAGTTTGCTATGATCGATGATCTGTGAGATAATTATATCTGATATTTGTATATGCCAGTATATGTTAGTTATGTGCACATGATTATTTGCTTGATGTTTGGGTTGAGGTGGTCCTAATTTGTGCTGAAGGCCAACATACCCTACGAGCAGTCCGGATAGACTGTAGGCCCGTATGGTGGTCCTGTCATACCGAAGGCTTGGGATAGATCCAGATAGACTGTAGGCCTTGTAGGGTGGTCTAGTCAGGCCGAAGACCGAATATGCATGTTGTTGATTATCTGTTATTGATATGACATTATCAGTGTGGTATTAGTATTTTGGGGGTAGCTCACTATGCCATTGGGCTTACAGTTTCAGTTTACTGTTTCAGGTACTTCCGGAGATCATGACAAGGCGAAGGCTTGACCGTACCGCTCATCATCCATGTGATTATATTTCTGGGAAACTCTGATGAATAATATTTTGAAAACATTTTGTAAAACACTATTTGGTTTCATGGTTGAAAAAGTTTAAATTTGACTTAAAATTTTTGGATGTTACAAACGATGTATGATGTAGTTTAAATGTATAAGTCCATGTAATCCTATAATTGTCTTAACACGATTAAAATTCTTTGAAAATCCTATAATACCTATAAAATTGCATAAAATAAACATGTTTTAACGTTCAATCTAAGAAAATGCATATAATTAGAAACAAAATTAAAACTTATTCACCGCTATCAGAAGACATTTTCACTTATAGAGGTGTCTGGAATGGTAGGTATGGTAATTCGAAAAAAAGAAATGTCGAAATCTAGTCCGAAACAGATTAAATGTTATTTATAGGAGAACCAGATTCCTAGGTCGAAATTATCTACATGTTTAACCGAATATGAAATCGGGTTTGGAACACCCCATTCGGCATTCTGGATCAAGTGATCATTTTGCAATAAAAAAAGATTATAATTTTTAATAACTACAAAAAAAAAAAGGTTAGATAACTCAATTTCCTTTTATGGCTAAATACAGTTTTTAAAAGAAATGATATTTATATTTAAGATTATATTTTAATGCATGGTAGGCATATACGACATTCACCTAATTTAATAATCGAGATCTATAATACAACAATCTCCATATGGGGTTTGTTTAGTGTTACTGATAAGACTTTATAGATAACTAGATAAGATATTTCTACGCTGGACTAATTTATAATAAGGTCTTAATTAATGTACTTCAAGATCTGGGTTATAACATTTAACCAACCATATAGTTTTTCTCTTCTATCGTCCAATTATCACTCAGGAGTTGAAACAATATATTAATCTACAAACTTGTCCACTAGTCTTGTTCGAATATGTTAGTTCTCTAATGGTATCTTTCCGGCATGCTATATAATTAACACATGCAGTCGTATGAAGCAGTGCATTAATCATCGGGCACAGGAAAGAATACAAAACCTATAGAGAGGCACTATGACGATGGCCGTATGGTTGACGGTGGTGATAGGAGCGGTGCCACTAATAGGGTGTTTATTGTGGTGGTGGAACGACATATGGTATGGCTTAGTTATGACAGCTCTCCGGCCATCCCAAAGTGGCACCAAGCTGCCACAAGGCTACATGGGTCTTCCGATCATCGGTGAAACGCTCACATTCCTATGGTACTTCAAATTTCTTGGTCGCCCCGAAGACTACATAAATTCAAAGCGTCAGAAGTAATTTTCTTTACTCCTTTTGTGGTTTTTTAGTATTTAACATTTCAACCGATGCTTGATCATCATCAATTATGAATTCTAACTGCAGGTATGGTGATGGGATAGGTATGTACAAAACACACCTGTTCGGTAGGCCATCAGTGATTACATTTTTACCAACGACCAATAAATTCGTACTTCGAGATACCGAAACCTTCAGGTTGGAGTGGGCAAATCCAGAGCTCATAGGCAAGACGTCAATGTTTGTGGTTAACGGAGAAGCACATCTTAGGATTCGAAATTTTTGTTATTCGAAGCATTAACCAACCAGATGCTCTACGTCGAATCGCCCTTGCTGTGCAACCACGTATGATCTCAGCCCTCCAATCGTGGACCACACGTGGTAAAATTAATTCCTTCAATGAAATAATGAAGGTCACTTCTGAGAACATCGGCAAGTATTTTGCTAGCTTCGAGCCAGGCCCTATCCTCGACAAGATTAACCAACACTTTAAGGAAATTCTTGATGGATTTACGGCTTACCCTTTGAATATACCAGGATTTAAATTTCATCGTGCGATTCAGGTAGTCATCATATATGATTGGATTAAAGTTTTCCAAGTTAATATGTCATGATCAAAGATATAGTACTTGTGGATAATATATAGATCGGCTTCGTTCAGAATTGTAAAGGTTTATATATGGTGCTTTTTTGTGATAGTCTCGTAGAAAAGCTCAAGCTATTTTCAAGGAAGAGTTGGATAGAAGGAGGAGCAACATAGATGGAAGTATCCAACCTATAAATGATTTAATCGATGGGTTTATTACTCTGAAGGATGAGGAAGGGAACTATTTAAGTGACACTGAGATTCTTGATAACATTACTAGCATTGTTCTTGGTGGGTTTGAATCAGTTGTCATCGTCACAGTGTGGGCTCTTTGTTATCTTGCGAAAAACCCCTCTGTTTTACAAAAGCTTCGGGTACACGCCTACACCTAGCATGATTTTTTCGTATTCTATTCTCAGACTTCTTTATCTTTACACATATGATCATATATAGGACGAGAACATGGTTCTGGAAAAGAGTAAGAGCCAAAAACTTGTAACTAGCGATGAGATTTTCAAGTTGGTATACACCATGAAGGTATATATAGTAATGTTTGCTTCGGAGTAATATGTATCCCTTTGGAAGTAATTTGACGAATTAATCCTTAATATTGATATTCATGCCTTCAGGTTGTGGATGAAACAGTCAGATTGTCGAATGTCGCTAACTTTGTTTTACGTACGACAACAGAAGATGTTGAGTATAAAGGTAATTAGTGTTTTATTTATTCGCTTGTTTTATTTTTATATAATTATATTGCTAAAAGTTTATACTTATAACAACATAGGATACACTATACCAAAAGGATGGAATATGATTGTATTGCTTAGGAATGTCCACGTAGATCCTAAAAACTATGACGATCCATTGTGTTTCAACCCTGATAGATGGGATGTAAGTCAGATGTTAAGCATAATATGTTTCTCCATGTCATTTTTTTCTGATTTCAAAACTAAACACATATATGTTTTAAGGGATCAATGCTGCCTGAAAACTTCCAAGCATTTGGCGCTGGTCCAAGAACCTGTGCAGGAAATATGCTCGCTCGTTTACAACTGGCCTTGTTTCTACATCATATCTCCACAGGATACAAGTATAAATTCATTTCCTAAGTAGATATATATGATCAAAAGTGAACTTTACTATGTATGTATTTGTATATACTGATCGATTTTGAAATCGATTTCAGATGGGAATTAGTGAATCCAGACGTAAAAGTGAAGTATCTCCCAAATCCTAAGCCAGAAGATGGTCTCGAAATTACCATTGCCAGATTATGAATCCTACTACTAGAGAGTACTAGTTTTATATGTTATGTAGTTTCTATGATGAAACAAGCAAAGAGTAGTTCGCTGAATAAATATTACCCTTGTGTTGAAAACCTCAAACTCAAATCTTTGAATAAATATTACCCTTCTCTTCAAAAGCTCAAACTCAAATCTTTGACAGCTGTGAAATCCATCAGTAAACGGTTTTACGGTTTATGGAAAAGCCTTGTGTCCTAAGAGTATCTACAATGGTGAGTTGAATAGGAAAGTTAATTGAGGTGACAAGTGTATTTGTGAATTAAACTTTATTATATTGAGATGTTACATTGACATTAAATGAACTTAAAGTTCAATGATCATTTAATGCTTTAACGGGAAAAAAGTTTTTAAGTCATAAATATATTGTATAAATTAGTTTTTGTAATTTTCTATTGAATTTTGTAGAGTTCAAGGCGTTGTAAAAAAATTGAAAGAGTTATATGGAACATAAAAAAAATGATATGACAATCCATTAAACTCTATGGACTTCAATGAATTATAGATGCTGTAATCTTTTATGTGACAAACTATTTGAGAGATTACCGAAAGAATATTCCACTGGAAAGTTACCTACGATGAATCAGCGGTTGACATAACTCTATGATGGTCTTTTGAAGGACCTTATTACCGACAGACCCGGTTTGAACATTTCAATGGATCTGTTTTAACGACCTTTAACCATTTTCGACGCGTCTGTTTTGACCACTTTGTCCATTTTTGATAGTTCAGGTTTGACCACCTTTGACAATTTCCGACAGAATCTAGGTTGACCATATTCGACTTGTTCTTATGGATTTACAATGAAATCTAGAAACATAAAAATCACCAAAAACAACCAGGAAATAGTTGATAATTTTTTACTATAAAAGACTTTAAGAACAATTATAGAAAGCAACAAGATGAAACCCTAATACTTAAAGAGCCATTTTAATAATTGTAATTGAACTACAAGAAAGTTTGGGCAACACTACAAGAAAAGGTATCAATGGAGGAGACAAATTAAAAGTCGCTTGTATCAGTATAGAAACCGCTTGCATAGGTTTTAGAGTTGACCTAATCACCTGGGGAAAACACGGGTATTAACAGGTTGGGACGACCTAATCATCTTTCATCCCCCGCCCCACCCATTTTTTTGCCCCTAATATCACCTTTAAATTAAATTACAACTTTTCCCATTCTCTTTTATGCAATTTCTCATAACTCTCTCTCTCTCTCTCTCTCTCTCTCTCTCTCTCTCTCTCTTTCTCTCTCTCTCTCTCTCGCACACACACAGATGCACACACACAATCCCTCCCGATGATGAACACCAACTCATTTTCTTATCTATCGTTTGCTATTGATGACCACCAATGATCACCACTATCATAAATTTATAGGTGGAAAAGGTACATCACTACCAACCGTTTTTGTTGTATGTTATTTATTTGTAGAACTTTTGTATAAAATGTGTTTAGATTATTAGAAATTTATGAATTGAAATGTATGTTTAAATGTGTTTAGATTAGTATAAATTTATGAAATCTATGTCTAACACCAAATTCCAGGAATAATTGCTTTTATGAATTCATCATTTAAGATTTAAAAGTATATGATTTTTGGTGGCCACGATGTGTTGGTGATAGTACCATGATGTGGCGGCACCTGATGAAAACACACATTCATATAAGGTGCCATGACGTGGTATGGTGATGACCATGACGTGGTGGCCGCCAACATGCAATACCCTAATTTTTCTAGCTTATGTTAGGGTGCAAAGTTATTCAAGTTTGACTTTGTAATGTGTTGACTTTTGTAAAACACACTTTCATGTGGTGCATTAGCCTTTTGACCCATGAGTTAGTGAGAGTGAGAGAGAGACATGTAAACACCTCTATATAAGGTGGGTTTAATCCACTTGTAAATGTGTGCTTGAGAGTTGTAAAGGTGAGTGCATAAGTGTGTGTTATTTATGTAGATGTAGATCTATGTCCCTTTTTGTAACACCATACATATTCAATACATCTCTGGAACACCCAAATCACCATGTTCATTGTGCAATATTTAATTCCGCATGCTAAACCATGTTCTTTATGTCACTTCAGCTAAAGCCTTATTTAAGGGATGTGATGGCTAGGGTTTGTTCACTCTCAGCCCGCATCACTTCCTTTTCGACCAAGAGCAATACTACCCTCCATTGTTGATATTTGTGAGCTTTTGGTGCCTTGAAGAAGAAGAAGAAGAAGAAGGTGTCCTTGGTGTGTAGATCAAACAAGCATCATCTCTTACACACATTTTCAACTCTTGTAAGTCCTCAAGTTCTGATCTTGTGTGCTATGTTTCTAGATCTACGTTGTTGGGAGCTTTTCTCTATGTTTGGGAGAGTTTGGACGGATAGATTCCATAAAGTTGGCAACTTTATAGATCCTTGAGGTCCCCTTATGGTTCTATGTCCCAGATCTAAAGTTTACTAGAGTTTTGATATCATGTATGAGGTTTGGCCTCATTTTCACCATTTTGACCTAGCTTGAGCTCAATACATTTGTTGTACATGTATGTCTATTAAAGCAACATTTTTTTTATCATGCTTTGGGTGTAAGAGTATCTTCTGGAAAATATGGATGAGTAGCTTGAAGAATTAAGGGGTTAATGCATTAAGCTGGTCAGAGCAGGTTCCACAACCTGGTGGGTTGGCTACCACGAAGTGGTGATAGGCAGTCTCCACCACTGTTTTGTCGAGAGGACATCATTGATGTGTTTTATATATATGAAATATCTACAATACAGAAAACAATTAACAACCAATAGGGTACATTCCTCCTATAAAATATGTATGTCATAGACCTTGATAACAACATACAATGAACAACTAAACTAGACTAACCCTAGTGTAATTCAAAAGTTACAAAGTTTGATTTGTTATAACAAACAAATCAAACCAATCCTTGTATTTATGAAGCTTGGAAAGACTAGCAACAAGAACACAAGATGAGATATGAGAGGGGAGTAAATTTTAAACTGTATGAATCTTAGAAATGTTGGCCGAAAATATGAAGCCTTAAGTGCTACTTATAAGTGAATAAAGCATCTTTAGTGTCACACCCCCAAACCGAGACGACGAAAACGCTCGGAGGGTGGAGGACATCACGTATAATATCATCACAATTGAATAATAGTAATCAAAACAACAACAACCATTGTATTGAATATATAGTGTTTAGATTCTATTTGTAACATAACTTGAATGACTCCAAATGTATATAGTAAAAATTAAGACTACGAGCTATTATGCTCCTCCTTCTTGATAACATACATGTGTACCAGCCTACTGGTTTCGTGAGAATACAAGAAATTTTGAATGACCATCAACAATTAAGCTGGTGAGTTCATAAGCATTTTGTTTTATAAAATCAGTCATTTTCTCCTTAAAAATGTTCATATGTTCCACCGAAAAATCCTGTATTTTCTTAGAAAATGATATGTAGTCTTAGTCCCTTCAGACCAAAATGTATAAATGTTATCGTATTTTTTTTAGTAGTAGTATTACGTGGATTTTTAATCTGTATAAAACCCATTTGAAAGCATGATTTCCGAAATGAAAGTTGTTTTGTACTTTAAAACAGTGTAATGTAGTTTTATGATGATACAACCCTTATATATGCATTTTCTCGAGTAAATATTACTCCAACTATGTAAGTTTCTGTATTATAAAATAGTGTACTCCTAGAAATTCCTATAGCTTCCATCTAAAATCCCCCAGTGTATGAAGTTATATAAGAATCGAGATCGAATAACCCGTCAAACACAATAGGTCTGCCATAAACCCACAACCATACAAGGAACGGGATCTAAGGCAGACCGAACCATTTTCAAGTCGATCGCATCTAAATTTTATATAACCCTGCCATATACACATAGAAAATATGGATGGAATCCAACTATTCTAAACGATATGTAGTCTTAACTACCCTAAGACCGATGAGAGTGAGTGTTTGTTCTTAGAGATAGTATATATTCCAATGATACATATGTAGAACATCTTATCTTTGTAAATGTATTGTATGTTAAGGAAAAATCCAATATTTTACTTATAGAGTGAGTTATAGTCTTAGAGCTCATGACCGAATTGTACAAGTATCTTCCATACTTATGATAGTAAGGGCGGTTTTTAAATAAATAAAAACCCTTATGCATGTAGGAATTCCCGTAAACTATATGTGTCGTAGTTTCCCTATGTGATGTATTATAAGCATGCAATTGACATAGTAAGTCTGTTACCACGTTTTCAGGAGTCAGAATGTTTTGACATTTGTCACCCCAGACCTGCCGGTCTAGTTATTGTAAGCCACTTAGGGTGTGGGGTTGACAGTCGCAATATAGATATGTACACAAGTATCACGCTCTCCCGACAAGAGATTATGGATATAATACAGGACTTTAAATAGCACTCAATCAGTACAATGAAGTAGTGTCTCACAAATTTGATGTAACGTGTTTACGCGTGGTGTAAATAAAAACCCTTTTTGAAATGTAAGAATCCCCGTAAACTATATGTGTCATTGTTTCCCTATGTGAGTTATTATAACCGTGAAATTGACATAGTAAGCCTGTAACGATGTTCTTCAAACGTCGGAATGTTTTGACATTTGTCACAACAGACCTGCCGGTCTAGGTATTGTAAGCCACTTAGGGTGCGGGGTTGTCAGTTCTAATATAAATCTATACACAAGTATCATGCTCTCTGTACAAGAGATTTTCGTTATAATACATGACTTTAAACAACACTCAATGAGTACAATGAAGTAGCGTCTCACACATTTTATCCAACGAGTTTACGTGTAGAGTAAGTAAAAATACTTTTGTAGTAGGAATAGAACATTCCTTTGTGAGTTGGTAACGTAAACGTACCATAAACTATACCTATTATAGTTTATCAAATATGTTTGTAGCAGTGAGTGAAAACCCTTTTTGTAATGTAAATGGAACTTTCCATAGTG